ATACCAGGTACAAAATTCGTGGCACAGTAGTTCCTCAACCGCATAAAACTATAATGCAGCGATCATATCTCTATTTAGCGCCTAAATTTTATGAACTTATACCTAAAGACTTAAAAGATTTACGTTTCGGAATTTGTTTCAAAAGAAATTTAAAAAAGTGGCTACATTCTATATCTAGGACTGAAATTCATAAACTCATAAATACGAACATCAACTAAATACATAATCGACTGTAGCTAATTTTTATCCTTTTTTGTCATTTGCATTCTACAGTTTCAACTTAAATTTATTGGTCCATGTACAGGCGATGCCTTCTATTGGGCCTGTTTTGATTTTATATTTAGTTACTCATATTGTTTGTTATCTTTGTACATTGAGTGAATAAATATTATTATTATTATTATAGCTCTGCTTTCTGTTCTAAGTAAATGTTAAGGCAGATCAGAAACCTACAATTGCTAGTTCAGTGCAGTATAGTTTTGAGTAGGATTGAACAAATTTCGACTCAGTTCATCGTTAGACGTGCTCCCTCTATCCGAGAACTCAGTTATCCAGTATACACACAAAGTATTTTACATTAAGGAACATTACCGGGAGATAGAATCGACCTACGTTTTCACGCTAGGCCTTTCTGTTGTTATCACCTCGATCCGACGATAACGGGCATCGACGCCGGATAACTAGGGTGTTCACCCTGCAAGGTTTTTTAATAAGACGTCGTCGTGATGACATCCATTTCCAAAGAAAAAACGAATTAGGTGTAATTGCAATGCTTCTACAACTTTTCGGTGAGAGAGAGAGAGAGAAGCCACATCGGGTGCAATCTTCCTGTGTGGTAGGTTACTTGTTTTGTTTTTTCAGCATCATATACTATATTTAAAGCATGCATACAATGTCAACGTTTTATCTTTCTTTTGGCTTACCTATGCCTCAAGTTGCCACCATGTTAGCGACTTTGACAGTGGTAGAATTATTGCCTATCGATATGTTGGTTTGCCCTATCGCGAAATTGGCCGCCGTGTTAATTGTACGGCAATGACGGTAACGCGTGTGTGTCGTGTGTGGACAGAAGAAGGTAGAGGAAAACAAAGAAGGCCAACTGGTCCACCGAGGTGTACTACAGTGCGTCAAGATAGGCGCTTCAGGCAGCCAGACATACGAGACCGTTTTGTTGCTACGCGTCAGATCGCTGACCGCAACATTGGGAGGTTGAATGTCATAATGTCATCTTCAGCGACGGATCGCGATTCTGTCTAGGTATGCACGATGGTCGTAGAAGGGTAAGACGGAGAACGACGTGACGTGACTTTACTGCCATATCTATCTATATATCAGCAAGAAAACTCACGTCCTTATATTGCTCGTCGTACTACGGACTTTCTTCAAGAAGCAGGCGTTAATGTTTCGCCGTGGCCGCCCGGTTCACCGGATTTAAATCCTATCAAGCATGTGTGGGACATGATGGGGAGGGGACTATCCTTGTACTATCCGCCACAGACTCTGCTACAGCTAATTAACGAAGTTCGAGTTGCTTGGAATGAGGTGCCACAGGAGTGTATTCAGCTGCGGGGTTGCCCAACACGTTATTAATTTTTTTCTTATTACTTGTCAATGAAATTTCCTGAGAGTGGCTACAAAAGCTTCCTCCTGTCTTAATATAAAAAATTAAGAGTTTCGATTCTTCTACTTTTTTGCATAAAATTAGAAAATTGCATATTCAGTCAAATTGAATCCTTAAGGTGCATAAATTAATTTGCAAAAAAATACATTGTTCAAATGCATCTGAAGAATGCAATATTACAAGAATATTTTTCAGTTTTGTATTTTTTTTAAATATAATAGCAGCTTACATCTCTTTGGTGCTTTTAAGCTAGTAATATTAAATTGTATGCTTGCTTAATATATTTCAAACTTTAGCATGTTTTCTGTATAGGTTATTCGAATCGACTACCTCAGAAGCTTGTACCACAGTTTCGATACTGTTGTATGAGGTTTGCTCAGGCCTTAGGGCGAATCCCTTATTGCAATACGATCCAATCCGTTAAAACGTTGGTGTAGCATCAGCTTTAGGAACATCTATCGAAACAACATGGCAAGGAAAATGACTTCAGGCTTGCAATATAGTTTTTTGGACATCGCAATAAGCGCGGGTGTTGCCGCCTATGATTAGGGGACAGAATGGAATAGGAGGGTGAATGACGAAAAGGACCGGCAGGCGGCATCGGCACAGCATTCGAGGGCCACCGTCTTTTCAAATCGCTGTCGGGCTTTTGACCGATTTGATATCTTTAGGATTCCGTTATCTTTGTGGGGTTACAAAAGCAAGAAGCTATCCCAAGATACGCACCGTTATAGTCCAGTTTAACACATATACTTGAATACAGCTGTTTGTGACATGCTTTTTTTAATTCCTCAATATACATCGAGGCGTCTGTCAACACAGTCATAAAACCCTGATTCAAGGGATATACTTGTTGCGATATGAGTCCGCGGTATAGCACTGGAATGACTGAAACCGTACATTATTGGAAGAACATAATATGTGTGTCATATCAGTGGTGCTTATCTGAACTTCGCCTGTCGCCAAACTCCCTTTTCTTTAATATAAATGTAAGTTTATTTGTTGGTGTTTGGCGAATAAAGACGCTTATTACACTGGACAACAAATTTTAGTTTTTTAATTGTATCTTGTGCACTTCTTTGTTAATTTTGGGGCGCTGAATCCAAAAATGTCAATGAAATAAAATAATTAGTTGCGGTTTAGAAAAAAAACTTTTTATTTTTAAGGATATATTAAAAAAAGTAACAAGATTCATATACTTATAAGAATCACTATATGCGCTGTCTTTTTGCTGTTCTTTTATGGATCGTTTCTGGAGCATCTCTACCAAGAGTCCAACAGTAGTCTGCAAGCAAGCAAGGATTCCACTTTCCCTGGTACCTTTTTTCCATTGTTGAAATATCCTAATGGCTCCGAAATTGTCAGGAAAAAAGTCCAGGTGTGAGTGTAGGAAATGTATTTTAAGAGACATATTACAGCCCATCTTTTGATACGGTGACAGCATATTTTTGACAAGGGTTTTATAGTTGTCAGCTTTTCTATTTCCCAAGAAATTAGTGACCACCAGACGGAAATCATTCCAAGCAGTTTTTTCAATACCTGTTAAAGTGTTTTCAAACTGTGTATCTTTCAAAATATTTCGAATCTGTGGCCCAACCAAAATACCTTCTTTAACCTTTGCCTCACTTAGTCTTGGAAATTTCTGACGCAGGCATTGAAAAGCTGACCCATCTCTATCTAATGCCTTGACATTAGGCCCAACTTGATATGCAGTGGTGGTAATAAATTTTTTTTCGAATCTACTAATGGCATACGCTGTACATTTTTTTGACCTGGCTCTAGGAATTGACGAACAGGCCAGTTTTGTCTGGTGTAATGAAGTGCCTTTGCCCGACTGTCCCATTCACACAAAAAACAGCAAAACTTTGTGTAGCCTAGCTGCAGCCCAAGTAAAAGTGCAACAACTTTCAAATCGCCACAAATATGCCATTGGTGCTCATCGTATTTTATGCATGTCAATAGGTACTTCATATTGTCATATGATTCTTTCATGTGAACTGCATACCCTACAGGAAGAGATGGTAAAATATTTCCAATATGCAATAACACTGCCTTTAAGCTCAATGTTGAACTGTCTATAAACAATCTCCATTCTTCTGGGTTATAGTTTATATTTAAAGCCGCCAGTAAGCCGTTAATGTTACTGCAGAAAACCAAGTTATTCTCCATATTGAAAAATGGTTCTAAGTCTTTGTGGCGTTTACGAAAAACACATACCGAAACATCGTCTTCTAACAAGTTCCACTGCTGCAGTCTTGATCCAAGTAACTCTGCCTTACATTTTGGAAGTTCTAAATCTCTTACAAGATCATTTAATTCTGACTGTGTCATTTTGTGCGGTTGGTAGCATGACGTGCTCGGTATAAAATCAGGATCTCTTGACGTTGATGGCATATCTTCTTCCTGACGAATCACTCGATCGCCATGATCTGATTCGTTTTCTGATTCTGAAGTGTAGGATTCTGGGGGTTTTGGAATAGGATTTTCGTCACTGTGAGGCACAGGTCTCATCGCAGATGGTATGTTTGGGTAGTTAATAACCGATTTTTTTTTCTTGGACATACCTGTGGCTTGTCCAACACAAGGTACCATGCAAAAGTAACAATCATTAATATGATTTGTAGGCTCTCTCCAAACCATTGGGACAGCAAAGCGCATAGACCGTTTTTTGCCATTTAACCAGCTCCTCAGACTTGAAGCACATGTGTTACAGCAGATGTGGGGTGCCCACCGTTTGTCTTGATCACCTAGTTTACAACCGAAATAAAGCTGATATGCCTTTGTTATTAGTGGAGTAATAGACCGTTTCTGAGACGCAAAAGTCACATCACCACACACGTAACAAAACTGATCTGGATTGTTTACACACTTTTGAGACATCTTGCATGAACGCTGTCAGTCAACTGAGGAAAAAATGGCTAATATAAAACAATATAATGTACACGTATGTATAACGTAACACAATCATGCCTATTACATCATCTTTCCTTACCGAATATAAAAATGTAGCACGTGCATTCTTGTGAATTACAGTATATTAACACTGTCACAGCAGGAACACATATAATTACCGTATCTCTAAAACTTGAACTAATATTGAAAAAATAAGTTTCATTCCGGTTTTAGCACATTAAAAATAGTAATATTTTGTTGATTTTATTTAGGATATTTTTTGGCTGTTGATCAGTGTTATTATTATTATTATTTATATTAAATACTAGACAGGAGAATACAAGTTAAAGTAGGAAAGAAAAGTATACGCCATGCACTTTGGGCATTGGGGTGCCACAAGGCTCAGTCCTGGGACCAATGATTTTCCTGCTTTATGTAAAGGATCTGCCTGCTCACATCTCGAGAGGGAGGATCTTTATGTTTGCAGATGATGTCAGTTACAGTATCGGGACAGAATATTGAGGAACTGCAGGAGAACATCAAGATAGTGTTAGATGAATCATACAATCAGCGATCACTACCTAGTGAAATGAGCAGTAACTTTCAGATTACTCAGCCCGCCAAACTGTTTTTCTGCGATCACATAGACCACGTATGTAAGCAATTTAATAAAGCATTTTATGTAGTCCTACAACTGAAAAAGCATTCTCGATCAAAATGATGTATCGAATGTCTTATATGTCATACAACATGGCGGTGGGGGGAAGGATCAGAGTGAGAGTGTTTGTCTTGTCTCATAAACATAATGAAACATAATGGTCCCAAGACAGATCCTTGAGGAACTCCACACGTAATCGTATAATTATTAGATCTGAAGCCGTTGTGCATTTCAGATAGATAGAATTTTATAAGTGAGACGAGATGACTGATCACACCAAGGTTAGCTAATTTGTCAAGAAGAATGCCATGATCTACCCGGTCAAAGGCTTTCGACAAGACAGCAGTCAACAGGACAGTATATTTTCAGATATACACTGTGCAAGTTTGTAACTGTTGCTAACTTTTTCGTTTAAGCCATGCCGTTGAGTTATTAATGTCAATAAACTGCATCATAAATAAGAAACGTAAACACTTTTAAAAAGTTGTTGATAATAGTGGTTTGCCTGTAATTTTCAATATCGCACTTGTTTCCTTTATTCTTGAAAACCGGACTATAAAGGGTCGATACCATTATTTAGCGATATGCGATTCACTTTTCAAGAAGACAGGATGTTTCAGAACAATTCGCAATACCAATTCTAGGTAACTCTCTGACAATATTACTTAATATCACTATGGGTACTGAATATAGTAAAACCCAGGATATTAATTTTATCTGTCCCAGTTCCACATTTCCAATATGAACGTGAGATATAAAAATATAATGAACATCAAAATTGCATTTAGATTAAAAACCACGCAGTCCGAGAATAATGAAACTGTATTAAAAATTCCATTACCGCACAAATGTGCCACGCGTTATTTTTAGCACAAAACATCAGCGTAGTACCTCTTTATATCTGCACATCCCCAGGTGAAACCTACATACCATGTCTCTTATGAGGATGTTAAGATGGCGCTTAGTTTTCGAACATTCATGGCACATACTCCGCGGAAAGGTCCCTGGTGCATCCATAAGATTTAATAAGCTGGTTGGCGACTGACACACTATTAGAATCACATCGGAAATACTGATTATACAGAGTGTCCGCAAAGTTGGGGTTTTCCTTTTCAGAAACAACTACCCTTGAAATAACAAAGGTAATGTGTAGTGAAACGAGGGCAACCAAGTAAAAAAAAATAAAGGAAAAAGTACTCACTCTCCAGTTGACGAGAAGGGCTAAGTACGTCTCTGCCCGAAATCATACCGCTCCAACAGAAAATGAAATCAGCTGATGCGCTACCGAGCAGACGCAGAAACCAGATTGATTGTCTTACACTTAATGGCACATCTTCTAACAAGGAAGGCAAAATGTTGCGTAAAAAGTCTAAGTATTGCATCCCGTCCAATCGATTTGGGAGAATAAATGGTCCAATGAGCATACCGTTCACCATGCCAGCCCAAACATTCACCGAAAATGTTTGTTGAAAATGTGCTCGACGGACAGCGTGCGGATTTTCTACTGACCAAACATGAGTGTTGCGAAAGTTATTCACCCCATTACGCGTGAACGTAGATTCGTCTGTCACCGATATGCACTTCAAAAAGTCCGGATTATTGTCATGTTGATGCAACAACCGCACTCTTGCTGGAAAATCGTCAGGTTGAAGGGCTTGTACACGTTGGACGTGAAACGGATACATCCCCTCTTCACGCAGCGTTTGCCACACTTTAGTTTTTGATACTTGCACTTCTCTAGCCACGTCTCTAGTGCTTGTTGAGGGATTCTCGTCTACGCGATTACCTCTACACGCGTGACCGTAACCGTCGGTTGAAGGTTGCATACTGACCTGACACACTGACCCCGACCCAGTTCTGTCGTCGGGTTGAGCCAGTGACCTTGTACCAGTCGGTGATGTGGCGGCTATAGGACGGTATTCAGATATTTTTGATGTTGCAGAGCCCTTTATCTCGGTTTCCTTAAGACATTGGTGTATATGGTACTAAGAAAAATTGCTTATGTTTTCAAGATCTACACGCCGTGTGAAGGAAAACCCCAACTTTGCGGACACCCTGTATAATACAATTGGCTTAGAGATAAAAAAAACTTTTACTGTTTTCAAGCCCCCAATTTGATATCCTTTTAGTACATACGAGGCCTGTAAATTAAATGATGAAACATAGCGTCCGATTTGGCAACACCGGAGGTGCCGGGCTTGGACGGGAGACAGGAGAATGTGTGATCCGCCTTCAGTACAAGTTTGAACTCCCCTTCGCGGACACCCCTCTTACACGGACACTTTCTTTACAGTACAGTATTTGTATTGTATTAACTCTCTCTTCGAAGGACATTCTTGAACGGACGCGGAGACAAGAAAATGTTCTCCTAACCGGACAAAACACAAAATAAAAAGAAGCGCCTTGTCTTATTTCGTTTCTGTTGAGAGTATCGCTATTACATTTCCTTCTAAAGAAATGGATGTCGAATAGCAATATGAATTAAAAAGAAGCTTTTTGAGGGGTGATGGTATCAAAATTGACAAATCGTGTTATGACCGGTTTATAGCAGCTCGTCGTAAGGGGACTCCTTTGACAGGTATCTATGCATATTGTTTTTTTTTAGATACGGTTTTTTGGATTAACGAGTTTTCTTTACACATCAATTCTAAAACAGATAAAAAGAGTGAGATAATAAATAGGTTTGTCGTGACAACAACGCAAAAAAAAACATTCAGTGCTTCTTCTGCTTGGCTCAATGAATTTAGAATTCGCCACAATATAAGTTTTATAGCGATTTCGGGAGGAGTTTCGGCTAATGCCGTTTTTGAAAACATTTTCTTTCTTGATGAAGGGATATTCACCGAGAAACATCTATAATGACAATGAAACAGGTCTATATTTTAGAGATCTACCTGAAAAGATGCTCATATTAAAGAAGGAAAGATGTGTCGGGGGTAAGTATTCCACAGAGAGGTTTACAATTTTGCAGTGTATAAATATGGCGCGTGAAAAAGAAAAACTCATTGGTAAGGCAGCTTTTAAAAACATTAACATAAATGGCCTGCCTGTAACTTGGAAATTCAATAAGAAAGCTTGGATGACAAGATAAATTGTGACAGATTGGGCAAGACCTATGTAGATCGAAAAATGGCTAAAGAAAAAAGAAACATTTTGTTATTTTTAGACACTGCAGGTTCTCGTCCAAAAGACATGATACAAATAGATGACTTACCACTTAATGTACTTTTAGATATCTCAAAAATAAGAAATTATTGAAGTTGACTGATAAATGAAAATCTATGATTTTTTGAATATAGATGAAAGCTTGTATGTTGAAGATCTAAATTCAAGCCAATAAATTGAAAATCCAGTTGAAATACAAGAACTTTTTTAAGAATCTGAGTTCGACGAGGTACCAGTACCAACAGCAGCTATGCCAAATTATGACCAAGCAGCTCAAAAGTTTTTTGTTTAATTAGTGAGCTTCTTTCTAAATTAGAAATACGATTTATTTATAAAAAGAGGAGACAAACGAGAATATCCGACGTTTGTGTCCTTAGACTTTTTATTTCATTGTTTTGTGCTACTACAATTTACAGACATTCCAAGATACATTATTCGGTGAATTCCAAATGTTTCGGTCCAAAAAACCTATTGAGATGGACCACGGTTTAGATTGAGGAGGACGGTTCCTCAATTCTACAAGTTACAACTGCGTCCGTCTTATTCAGCGTGTAGTGGAAAAATTCCAGATTTATTTCGATCTGAGTCCTGCAGAGCGTTCAGTATGACTAACACTGTGCATGACCCCTTTTCAGGACATCCAAAGTTTGCTTTATTTACGCTCACAGTGTTTTGTATTCAGAATTCCCCTGCGCTCGAGGCCAGTCCGCTAGAAAAATACTACAAGCATTTGTTACATTAAAGCTGCATTTTTACCGGCTTTTGGCCACTGGCCGACTCGGGACTGTAACTGACAACCATAGGCGGCTTTATTGCTTCAATCTAAGGGCCCTTCATGCCATCGTTTATGTCTTCCTTGATTTTCATAGCTTTCTACGGTTCCTTGTCAGCGCTCTGTTTTGAGGTTATGTTACAAATAACTATTTTCAGCAAATTGTTCATGTTTTTGATCTATATCATCTGTTATATAAGCCTGAAATTTCTTACAATTCAAAAAGGAAACATAGCCCCACAATACGAAGCGCCGACGCTGGCACGAAACAGTAGTAGAAATCTTGAAATACCCCAGGCTTTCTGAAGGAGATAAAATACTACGAAAATCAAAGAGGCCATAGAGGCGTCCTACAATAGTAGGAACGACTGACGATACGGCCCTAACACGAACAGTTATTGGATAACGGTAAACTGTGTGACACAGGAAAAGCAGGCGATAATGTCCGATATATTGGTGTCAGATACCAAGACCAAGATAGACTTTCACCGGAAATTATGTCTTTTAATTAGGATATCTAACCTCAGAATCATATATTTATGTAAGCGTTCCTGCATGCCGTTTAATTTGAAACGAGCTAATTATTAACAGAAATGAAAATATTAATCTACATATAGTCGCATTTTGAAGTTTCCATGAACATTTAGTAAAGGGTATCCCAAAATTAAAGCAAGTTTTGAATTAAATGGAAAACACAGTTTCACGTCTTTAGATTGTTATCTTTTTTTGAACCATAAAGTACTTAGGATAGACAAAATGTAGAATTATTTTGTCATCAACTCAAATGTATTATTCTACACCACATTATCGAGTATCCAGCCATGTATCTACATCTCATCGTATACAATGAGAACCAAATTTGTACTTAGCCAAAAATGTATCGGAAATAAAGTTCAATGTTGTCAGGGAGTTGGTTGTTTCAAGTTTTATTTAGGTGTTAGCTCTGGAAAATTAGATCTATGTCATTGGCCATCGATATTTGTTAGAGAGCATACGATTACTTTTACATCGCTAGTAAATACGTCCTTTACAGGAGGCAAATCGCGCCGCCATTTAT